ATCAGCTTAACTGGTAAAGGCGGAGCCACATCTGGAAGCATGGGGGGCGTGTCGTCCTCTCGCTTCATTCACTCCCATAGAGAGACACAAAACTGCTGGAGCTGTATTGTCGCGTTAAACCTTTATCGTGGCGTATTATTTCCCCATTGAAAAATAATCCAAATGTATCCCACACATTTTCCCATCACGACCTGGTGTTTGAAGTAACAAATGTTGTTCTTTACTACCAGCGCATGAACGCGCTCAACCACTTGATCTGTTCGCTGTTCCAGACGCTCCTATAACAGGTGCCATATCACTATGTCGTGTAACAAATAAACATGGTCAAACACAAAAATGTTGTCCGTGTCTTCACTGTCATTGTCACTGTCAGCATTTTTATTTTATTATTTTTCAATGGGGAAATAATACGCCACGATAAAGAAGGTTTAACGTGACAATACAGCTCCAGCAGTTTTGTGTCTCTATGGGAGTGAATGAAGCGAGAGGACGACACGCCCCCCATGCTTCCAGATGTGGCTCCGCCTTTACCAGTTAAGCTGATCGTCAGACAATCCGGACACCGACAGGAGACTCAGCGCTGCGCTGTGCAGCATCCGGCGTCAATGGGTTAAACCCTTTGATGGTTTGGACACTCATGGCTCTAATGTTATTTTGTTTTAGTCGCTTATCGATCTTATTTGTGGTGCGTTCACAGTCCTTGTAATCTTATATTCCCATCTGAAGCGTGTAGGATGTGTGAGACCTTGTTGGACCCGGTGACGTTGATGGCGGCGCTGTGAGGAGCTGCTGACATGAAGTCGCTCTGTCTCATCATCTCCACCTGCAGGTCCTGAGACTCCAGGTTATGAATCAGCTCTGAGATGTCTGAGTCTGAGGGAAAACAGATTTACAAAACATTAAACTAGATAATATATGAAATAAGATCAACTGGTACTCCCCTGGGGGTTTGATGCTAACTGTTAAAGGTTGTAGAGAGGATTTTTTAAGAGAAGAGAAATACAGTGACAGTGATTTTTCAAATGTTGTGCATGCGTGACACCACCTTCCTCCTTCACTTCTCCCTCAGTAGAAACATCTCCTCCCGCCTCCTCACTCTAGAAATCACGCTTGTTTACATCCAGTGCGCGTTCAGAATTACCATTAGACCATTCGTCTGCTTCATTCGCACAATCACTGGAAGAGATCTCCAAGAATCACCTCAGTTTGGCTTTGCTCCTTTTCCCCTTCTCTTCTTTTTTCAGCGATCTCAAAAATGTACTTTCTTTTGCAGCGAACCGGTCGTGGATTCTCGTCCTCCATCGCAACAAACTTTGTGCAAACCGAGAGGAAGAAACACATTTGAAAAAGCCTCTAAGAACCGCTGCATAAACCACGCAATCCCCGCGCACCGACGAGTCACTTACACTAGAAACGTAGGAGTTTGATTGACAACCTAACAACCAATAGAAAATGAGTGAGCCTCGTTTTCTATTGGCTGATGTTTATTTGGCCTCACTATGTCCACAGTTGGATTTTCATTCTTTTTTTTTTGGTCTGCTGCATCTCTGTAATGGTATTTTAAACTTTCCCTGACAATTTGAAACAAAAAAAAAAATCCTCCATACAACCTTTAATGTTGTTCTCTCCTCACAAACAGAGCTGGAGTTGTGTTTTGTTTCATTCACACATATTTGAGTAACTCTTTATTATTACCCAATATTTTCACCAAAGTGTGACAGAGTAAGTGCAGCAGCAGCAGCAGCAGCAGCAGAACATCAGCAGGTGTCACGTTCCATTTTAACTGGTTGGAAAATTTACACCAGCAGTGTCAGACACGCGATCAGCCGCGTCATGATGCTACACGTCGCTCAAATTAGATTGGAGTTCTACTTTTGCAGCATCAGAGCGTCTCCAGACTTTTATCAGGGGAAAAACAGGAAATAATCACGCCAAAGGTCAAAATAAACTTCCGATGTCCTTTCAAAATCCGTTGCATAAAACCACTACAGTCACGTAAACACAGAGCGTCGCATCAGGAGCTCGAGGACAGAAAGTTTAGAGTCGCGCGAGGAGCAACGAGCAAAGTGACACAGACACGAGCTTCATTAACGCAGCTCCACAGATACGACTCGTAACACTGCAAAACCTCCACTCTGACACTTTAGTTTAGAGATTTAAAACAGAACAGAGACAATCAACGACAAAAACATGAACTATGGGAAAAGTTTAGAGTTCAAACGTGAGAAGACACAGAGTTTAGAGTTTAAACGTGAGAAGACACAGAGTTTAGAGTTTAAACGTGAGAAGACAGAGTTTAGAGTTTAAACGTGAGAAGACAGAGTTTAGAGTTTAAACGTGAGAAGACACAGAGTTTAGAGTTTAAACGTGAGAAGACAGAGTTTAGAGTTTAAACGTGAGAAGACACAGAGGCTGGAATCACAGGAGCAGATCTTTGTCTCTGGTGTAAATTGAAGCTTTTAAAAGTACATGCTGCTGACACTGCTGGTGTAAGTGTCTATACCTCCAAAGCTCAAAATGCTCTGTTCCACCTTGTGATGTCATGAAGTTTTCAAGTGAACAGCTCCTTTTACCTTTAGTTCAGTAGAGATCGACAATTCCTGGTCTGAAATTATTTGATTGATTCTAGTGAAGATGTGTGGAGTTTACAAACACAGCGGAGCACTTCCTGTATCACCACATGATGACATCACAAGGGGGAATAAAGTGTTTTTGGTTTGAGAGAAGAACTAAATCAAAATGTGCAGGGTTTGTGTGAATGAAACGAAACATAAATCCAGGTGTGTTTGTGATGAGGAACAGACCAGAGAAAACAAAAACTGTCACAAAGTTCACTGAAACTCTGTCAGTGTAAAAGTCAACAAACAAAAGTCAAATGATTTTTTCACTGCAGGTTCAGAAAGTGGTGTTAATATTAGATGTGAGTGACACGGAGACGGTTCTGGACCTGAGGAGTTCTGGACCAGGAGGCTGGTGGCGTATCTGTGTGGGGCCTGGTTCCTCCTCAGCAGATACACGGGGAGGAACTCTCTGTCCGGAGAGTGGATCTGAATGTTCCCAGTGGCCAAAGACAGAACCAGGACGGCAGCCACGAACACCAGGAACAGAGCAAAACTACAGACACACAGAGACAGAGAAAGAGAGGGTCAGAAATACAATAAGGACTATTGTGAAATATAAAACCAGCAGACAGATTCAAAAGTGCAATAATAACTACTGTATAACGAGACGCATAATGAGATAAAGCAGGAGAGTCAAACTCATTTTGGTCCGGGGATCGTGTCCAACCAACTTTGATCCCAAATGGTCCAGATCAGAAAACTCATGTCATATAAACCCCAAAAATAACAATAAGTTCAAATATTTGTGCAGAGAAACACAAATCTATTACACAAATCTTTTTTAATTGATGAACTCTTTCTTTTACTAAATATGATAATATTATGAACAACCTGAAACTTTAAGAAGAATACAATTTCAACACAAAGTTTTAACATGAACTTGTCTGTAAATAGAATAAGTCAATTTTTGTTGTAAAATCCTGCACTCGGCTCCACTTTTCTCATGTTGGACATTTTTCTGATGAGGGTGTCACGGTCAACAGTCAAAACGATCGTCCTTTAAGAGCGTTTGGAAAGAGACAAGTCTTCATTTGTGCTGCTCTGGTGGGAGGGGCCACGTACAGAGACGCTGGAGACTCTGCTGTGATAAACACCACAGAAAATTAACAAGATTTTAATAGAAATTATAATTTAAATATTTTTGTAGAAAATCACCCGAGGGCCAGATTAAAGGTCTTGGAGGGCCGGATCTGGCCCCCGGGCCGGATCTGTTTGACACCTGTGAGATAAAGAGACTACAATGCAATAATAACTAACATATGGCAATAAAGTCTGTTCTGATTCTGCCTGATGTTTGACCTGGTTTATGGGTCATATCTCTGTGATCACTGGACCTACACACATCAAACTAATCAACATGGATCTGGTATTAAATCCAGACTGAACATTGCTTAAACTTGCATCAATTTGCTCTGGAGACCAGTGAAAAACATTCCCACAGCCAACAGCAAATGAACGGTGAGTTTTCACAAAATGGGTGTGTATCTGGAGGACAGACTCACGTGTAGACAAAGGCCTTCCTCTCTCGTCTCATGTTGAGCATGTGCAGCCAGGCCACAGCGCTGAACTGCTGCCTCCACAGGGCGTGACCTTTGACCCCGTCAGACTCGGAGAAGCTCAGGAGCCTCTGGTCCAGGTCGTCCACAGATGAAGTATCGCCCTCGTCCTCGGGCTGCTCGCGGTTAAACACGCTGTAGTCTGAAACAGAGATGGTCAGGACCAGACAGAGGGTCATGTGTCTGTGTAAAGTCACATATATCAGGCAGAATGTGGGAGTATTTGAACGGCTAAAAGGGACATGTGCACCTGTTCTACCTGCAGTTGTTTCCTTAGAGATTTCACCCACAGACAGAAGACAGTAATAAGACCTGTGTGAATGAACTGAGCAGGAACAGCAGAGAGTGACCATCACAAGACCCCTCTGAGGAGACCCCTCTGAGGAGACCCCTCTGAGGAGACCCTCTGAGGAGACCCTCTGAGGAGACCCCTCTGAGGAGACCGCTCTGAGGAGACCGCTCTGAGGAGACCCTCTGAGGAGACCCCTCTGAGGAGACCCCCTCTGAGGAGACCCCCTCTGAGGAGACCGCTCTGAGGAGACCCTCTGAGGAGACCCCTCTGAGGAGACCCCTCTGAGGAGACCCCTCTGAGGAGACCCCCTCTGAGGAGACCGCTCTGAGGAGACCCCCTCTGAGGAGACCCCCTCTGAGGAGACCCCCTCTGAGGAGACCCTCTCTGAGGAGACCCCTCTGAGGAGACTGAGAGACCCCTCTGAGGAGACCCCCTCTGAGAGAGACCGCTCTGAGGGAGACCGCTCTGAGGAGACCCTCTGAGGAGACCCCTCTGAGGAGACCCCTCTGAGGAGGACCGCTCTGAGGAGACCGCTCTGAGGAGACCGCTCTGAGGAGACCCCTCTGAGGAGACCCCTCTGAGGAGACCCCCTCTGAGGAGACCCCTCTGAGGAGACCTCTGAGGAGACCCCTCTGAGGAGACCCCTCTGAGGACCCCTCTGAGGAGACCCCTCTGAGGAGACCCCCTCTGAGGAGACCCCTCTGAGGAGACCCCCTCTGAGGAGACCCCTCTGAGGAGACCCCTCTGAGGAGACCCCTCTGAGGAGACCCCTCTGAGGAGACCCCTCTGAGGAGGAGCACGTCTCAACAGTCAACACTGTCAGGTATGAGAACAACTCAACTTTCTATTAGAATACACTTCTACTGCACTGCCTCTTATTTTCATACTGTGTGTGTGTGTGTGTGTGTGTGTGTGTGTGTGTGCGCGCGTGAGTGAGTGCGTGTGTGAGTGAGTGCGTGTGTGTGTGTGAGTGCGTGTGTGTGTGTGTGTGTGAGTGTGTGTGTGAGAGAGTGTGTGTGTGTGTGTGTGTGTGTGTGTGTGTGTGTGTGTGTGTGTGTGTAGAGGGAACATCGGTACAGATCATCAGTCACAGTGATAAGTGTAAAAGGCCGTTCACACCAAAGCTTCAAAAAACACCTTGACGTCTCTATTTGGACGCGTTTGCATTTGCGTTTAGACGCCCCCGACGCTCGACTTTGACGCCGTGGACGAACGGGACAAAAATACTTGACGCGCGTCCGTTGCCCTGGAAACAAGAGCCCGGTCCTGGTCTTTTCCCGAAACAATATCAGACCAGACTGAGAGACTTTAGTGTTTTTATGACATAAAACATCAGCGGAGGAAATCGGGTCGACGACCGGGGCGTATATATATTTATACTCTGCTAATGACACTGGATCAGTCCCGGTCTAGTCCTGGTCTAATCACGGTCTAGTCCCGGTCTAGTCCTTGTTTAGTCCTGGTCTAGTCCTGGTCTAGTCCTGGTCCGGTCCTGGTGTAGTCCTTGCGATCGGCTCGGTGATTGTGGTGTATATATTTATTCTCCGCTCATGTTTGTGGTTCTCGTTCTGGTTCTGGGGTTTTTCTTCCTGATAATAACGTCGCTGCGTCTCTGGATACTCGTCCCTGATTGGTCGACGCGGCTCGTCTGACGCAAAAAGTTCAGCATTTTCAACTTCTAGACGCTGACGCTTTGGACGCGCGTCTTGGCCGCTGACGCCAAAACGCCCAAGACGCACCGCGTCGACGCCAGATTCGCGCCGCGCTGACGCCGAAAACGCACTGCAAAAACGCAGGACGCTCTAGTCGCGCGTCCACATAGACTTTGCATTGAAACTGGACGCTTTGACGCCTTGGTGTGAACGAACCTTAAGGCATCATTAAACCACATGTGTGTCAGTGTAACTGTAGTGTATAAACAGAGTGCCCCTCACCGGCCTGGTCGACCTCGGCCTCAGCCTCCAGCCTCAGGAAGACGTCCTCCAGCGTCGTCATGGAAACGCCGTAATGAGTGATGCCCAGAGACGGAGCGGCGTCCAACTCCGAGAACAGACCTGAACAACGACCGAGGAGAGAGAGGATTATAAACACGACCAGCACCAATGAGAGTCAGACCTAAGAATCATAAGTCAAGGTGAGTCCGCACCTGGGAAAGTGTCCACGCTCTCAAAGGGCAGGGTGAAGGTGAGCTCGCTCTCGTGGCGTCGGGACAGTTGGGCTTTAGAGACGTGATTCTGGACCAGAGACGAGACTTTGTCCGAGTCACATGACTCTGTGATCGACATCCTGAACAAAAACAGGAAACACTTATACTCAAGCAACAGAGAGGAGAGAGGAGAGCAGAGTCCAGCGTAGGGGAGAGGAGCCAGACCTGAGGTGGTAGCCGACCCCACACTTGGTCTTCAGATAGAGAGAGGAGCCCACACACTTGAGTTGTCCCTGAGAGATCACTGCTTTACGATCTGAACACACAAACAGAGACTGTCAACATGGACAAACATTATTATGATTTAAAATACACAAAAGTCCACACTGATCTACAGGCCTGTGCTCTGGAGAGGCACAGGACTGAGCTGGAACTAGTGACGGGCATTCGATGAAATTTTCTTAATCGATCGTTGAAAGAATTAACGATAGATTATCGATTAATCATTAATATTTTTATATTAAAATTATCATCATTATTATTACTATCTGCACTAATCTGCATAAATAAATTCAACTTTACGACATATAAACGTAACGACTCTAGATCCACATCAGCTGTTTGACATTATAATGTGTTTAATTCAGTTTTGTTCAAATCTCACAGAAACAAAACTTAAAACCACATCACTAATTTACATAAACTAAGTGAAGATAAAACTCCAGCTCTTGTGTCGCTGATGTGGTTCAACTTGTGTTGGATTAAAAGACATGACTCGGGTGAATACAGGTCAGTGTGACCAGATTTGTGTTTGTCAAAACCAGGACAGCGTACGGGGGGAGGGGGGGCGGGGCCTCGTCATCCACATTGAGCGACTCTCACCTGGAAAATCTTTTTCCCACTGGACACAGAAACATATGTGCTGCTTTATCCACTGTGCACATGGACTCACACTTGTCCCAACGCAACGGAAAGTGTGGAATTTCTTCTACAAATCATCGTTGCACATCGTTCGCGTTTGCACTTCAGTACACTGCAGACTGTTTGTGTCTCGCTCCTTCTGAGTGCAGAGAGCTTCACGTACTGACCCTGTTTGGTCACTCTACGCTACGCACAGCAACCTACATTTGGTTTGTCGATTAAAATGAACGTAATCGATGAAATTCTTAATGAAAAATTATCAATTAATCGACTAATCATGCCCATCCCTAACTGGAACTACAACAGGTGAGCTGATCTGTGCTCTGAACCCAGTAGATCAGCCTCGTCACACCTTGTCCTGTAGTGTGTGAGTGGCAGAGTGGCAGAGTGGTTAGCCTCGTGTTACCTGCCAGTATGTCGGCCTCGTCCATGTAGTGGGTGCTGAGGACGGTGACCCTCTCTGCCCGTCGGCTCTTCAGCAGAGTCCAGACCTGGTGCCGGGAGCAGGGGTCCATCCCGGCGGTCGGCTCGTCCAGGAGCAGGATCTGAGGGACAGAGACGGACTGAGGATCATCTGCGTACGAGACTCAACTCCGTCAGAATCTGGGGTTTTCAGATTCAACACGCCGCTCGCAGATGAGTCACACACACTTCTACTTGGGTGATAATAGAGTATTACAGTGTCCTGTGGTATCAATGAAACTTAAAACCACATGACTCATTTACATAAACTATAAAGCGCTGATAAAAACAGATGTTTCCTTGTGCGCTGACGTGGTTCAGGTTCTGTCGGACTAAAGGACAGGACAGAGGACAGGACAGAGGACAGAGGACAGGACAGAGGACAGAGGACAGAGGACAGAGGACAGAGGACAGAGGACAGAGGACAGAGGACAGAGGACAGAGGACAGAGGACAGAGGACAGAGGACAGAGGACAGGACAGAGGACAGAGGACAGAGGACAGAGGACAGAGGACAGAGGACAGAGGACAGAGGACAGAGGACAGGACAGAGGACAGAGGACAGAGGACAGAGGACAGAGGACAGGACAGAGGACAGAGGACAGAGGACAGAGAGGACAGAGGACAGAGGACAGAGACAGAGACAGAGGACAGGACAGAGGACAGGACAGAGGACAGAGGACAGAGGACAGAGGACAGAGGACAGGGGACAGAGGACAGAGGACAGAGGACAGAGGACAGGACAGAGGACAGAGGACAGAGGACAGAGGACGTGTGGTTGGTACCTTGGGGTCTCCCAGGATGGCGATGCCCACAGAGAGCTTCCTCTTCTGGCCTCCACTCAGGTTTTTGGCCTGAGCCGTCTGGATCTTCTCCAGGTCCAGGTCCTTCAGAACTTTAGACACCTGAAGAAAAGAAAAGGTGCTTTAGTCTCAGTTCAGTCCTGGTTCAGTCCTGGTTCAGTCCTGGTTTAGTCCCGGTCTAGTCCCGGTCTAGTCCCGGTCTAGTCCCGGTCTAGTCCCGGTCCAGTCCTGGTCCAGTCCTGGTCCAGTCCTGGTCCAGTCCTGTTTTTTTCGTCACCTCTTCGTCGATCTGGTTCTTGGGGATCCCTTTGATGGCGGCGAAGGTTCTGAGATGTTCCTCCACGGTGAGGACGTCGAAGATGATGTTGAACTGGGGACAGATTCCGACGAGCTGCTTCATCTCGTGGCGGTCGGCGACCTCGCACACCGGGGAGCCGTAGATGAAGGCGGAGCCGGAGGTGGGGGGGCAGATCCCGCACAGGATGTTCATGAGCGTGGACTTCCCCGCTCCGCTGTGGCCCAGGAGAGCCGTGATCTGACCCTCGTAGATGTCAAAGGTCAGACCTGCGCACAGACGGGCGGGAGGGTTAAAACTGACTCCTGTGAGCTTTACGTCGTGACATCACAAGGTGGAGCACAGTTTTCTGAAGTTTAAACACAAACGAGAGCAGATTAATGTGACTGACCCCTGAGCGCCTCCACTGTGCCGTCCTTCTCTTTGTAAACTTTACGGATGTTGTTGATTCTAGAACGAAACACAAAACATTGAGACAGAAGGTTTTTAATAGTCCTGGTCTAGTCCTGGTCTAGTCCTGGTCTAGTCCTGGTCTAGTCCTGGTCTAGTCCTGGTCCTGCTTTATTCCTGATTGAGTCCTGGTCAAGTCCTGGTTTAGTCCCACTTTAGTCCCGATTTAGTTCTTTTTTCATCCTGATTTAATCGTGGTTCAGTCCTGTGCTAGTCCTAGTCTGGTTGTGGTGTAGTCCTAGTCTAGTCCAGGGCTAGTCCTAGTCTAGTCCTGCATTAATCTTGGGCTCAGTCCTACTCAAGTCCTGGTTCAGTCCTGGTCTCAATCCTGGTTTAGTCATTTTAAGTCTCACTTTAGTCTTGGTCTAGTCCTGGTTGAGTCCCGCGCTTTAGTCCTGGTTTATTCCTGATTGAGTCCTGGTATAGTCCTGGTATAGTCCAGGTTTAGTCCCACTTTAGTCCCGATTTAGTCATTTTTTCATCCTGATTTAATCGTGGTTCAATCCTGTGCTAGTCCTAGTCTAGTTGTGGTGTAGTCCTAGTCTAGTCCAGGGCTAGTCCTGGTCTAGTCCTGCTTTAATCTTGGGTTCAGTCCTACTCAAGTCCTGGTTTCAATCCTGGTTTAGTCATTTTAAGTCTCGCTTTAGTCTTGGTCTAGTCCTGGTCTAGGCCTGGTGTAGTCTTGGTTTAGCCCTGCTTTAGTCCTGGTCTCATCTTGGTCTAGTCCTGGTCTTGTTCCGGTCTCGTCACAGTCTTGTAACAATCTTGTCCCGGTCTAGTCCTGATCTACTCCTGGTGTACTCCCAGTTTCGTGCTGGTCTTGTCCTGTTTCAGTCCCGCTTTAGTCCCGCTTTAGTCCCGCTTTAGTCCCGCTTTAGTCCCGCTTTAGTCCCGCTTTAGTCCCGCTTTAGTCCCGCTTTAGTCTCGGTCTCGTCCCCAATCTTGTCCCCAGTCTCGTCCTGTTTCAATCCTGCTTTAGTCCCGGTCTCGTCCCGCTTTAGTCCCCGGTCTCGTCCCGGTCTCGTCCTGTTTTGGTCCTGTTTTAGTCGTGTTTTAGTCCCGGTCCGGGTCCAGACCTGATGGCCTCTTTGCCTCTGAACTCCGGGGAGATGGGTTCGATGGAGACGGCGCCCCCTGTCGTCCCGTTGGCCTCGGCGTCGCAGCCTGAGCTCACCTCCACGTAACGTTTACTCCGTTTGGACCAATAGGACGGCTTCAGGAAGTAGAGCGGCGAGCGGCGAAGACCGAACTCTCCTGAACCAAAAACCACCACAACCACGAGGATTATTTCAAAATAAAACATTTTACATTTACAGACGAAAATAAAGACGAGAAAGATTTCAGTTTTATTTAATTTCAGTTAATTACAGAGATAAAAACAGAAACCAAACCAGGACTGACTCAAGACTAAACCAGGTCTAAACCAGGACTAAACCAGACCTAAAACAAGAACTAAACTACAATAAGACTAAGATTATTACTTTAGTTCTAAACTCACTGTCCCATTAAACCAAGAGTCCTTTTTTTGTACAAACGGAAAAGAATCATTTTCCACAAGTTTGAACAATCTGGACATTTTATTTTGTGACATCTGGTCACATTTGAACCAAAAACCAAATGAGGATTAATCCAGGTCTAACCCAGGACTAAACCAAGACTAAAGACCAAACCAGGTCTACACTAGGACTAAAATTGGGTCTAAACCCGGTCTAAACCTGGTATAGACCAGGACTAAACCAGGGTCTAAACTAGGACTACACCCAGGCTAAACCAGGACAAAAAAAGGGTCTAAAACTGGTCTAAACCAGGACTATACCAGTTCTAAACCAGGACCAGACCAGTTCTAAACCCAGTCTAACCCCGGTCCAAGCCTCTCACCGGGCAGCACTTGGTCCAGGTAAATGGCGAGCAGCAGGTAGAGTCCACAGTCTAAGACGAGCATGAGCAGAGGGACGTACAGAGGATGAGGTCCGTTCAACAGAGACGAGAAGACGGCGCCATCTCCCTGCGCCTCCAGGTACACCACCTACACAAGGTCAGACACAGGTCAACGCTTTCCCCACGACTCAACACGGATCTCCATACACGGGTCACGATATCAAGTCGATTTTGATGTGAAGTGTTTTAATTTATTTGGTTCAGCTCAGAATGTTTATTCAGTGAAAATCAGACCAGAGTTTCTCTGTTTTATATTTTATAATAAACCAGTCGACTCTTCCCACAGACTGTTACTTCTTTGATGATGACTGGATGATTTATTTTCTTTTCCTCCTGAGTCTCACTGTGTCACACGCCTGTGTCCGCAGCTCCGCCCCCTCCAGCAGAGACAGTACGAGGCTCCTCCCACTCTGCCCCCACAGTCTGTGCTCAAACACACTCACTGTGTCTCCATCGTCTTTCTGGACTCAGACTCTGTTCTGTTTTACACAAACGTTTCACACACGTTTTCTGACTCAAACGTCTGAGACGAGTGTGAGAAAAAGAGAAAGTGTTTATCACGAGCGGCGAGTTTAAAAGTGAATATGTCGTTTCTGCGTCTATGAACGAAAAATAAAAAGGATGACAATGGCAATGGCGCTCGGGGACAGGTGAGTTTGTGTGAGTTTGTGGTGAGTTTGTGGTGAGTTTGTGGTGAGTTTGTGGTGAGTTTGTGGTGAGTTTGTGGTGAGTTTGTGGTGAGTTTGTGAGTTTGTGGTGAGTTTGTGAGTTTGTGGTGAGTTTGTGGTGAGTTTGTGGTGAGTTTGTGGTGAGTTTTTGGTGAGTTTTTGGTGAGTTTGTACCTGGGCGATGGCGATGGAGAAGGCGCTGGGCGACAGCAGACACAGGAGCCAGACCAGAGGTTGAGGAAAGTCTCTCATTAACACGGTGAAGAGCGACAGACACCCGAACACCACGGTGAGCATCGAACCCACTGTACTGGCAAACTTCGGCTTCTTAAACAGAGGAGTCAGCATG